TCAGCTGTGCATTGTGTGCAATCCTATTTAAATGGCTTTTTTTTTTGCCAATTATTCTGAGGCTGTGATCTTATGTTTTAGTTTCCCTAAACACTTTTCACCATTGACTCTGTCAATCCCCACAAGAACTTTATGGTTCAATAGATTCCTTCTATTTTTCTGAACCCCAGAGAATATAGGCCTGGTCTACACAACCTCTTTCTATACAACAATCTCATTATACCAAGAAACAGCTTTATTTACCTATGTTGCCCTCCCAATAAATCAGTTATGTCCTTCCTTAGGTAAAGAGACCAGAAACTGTACGCAATGCTCCAGGTGAAGCCTCCTCCCTATAAGTGTGTTAATAGTTCTTTGCCCTTATACCCTCTGTATGGCACATCTACTGTAAGTGTTTACACCTCCAGTAGCTTCTGCACAAGAATTTATGAACTGGTGACAAACTGCAATCATCGCAGCACTTCAGGTAGGGGGAAAACTATTTGGGTTTCCCTGGACCAAGAGGCAGTCTCATCATTTAGGATTTGAGTTCTGATGAAGAGTCACCAATCTTGAAATGTTAACTCTGCTTTCTTCCCACAGACGCTTCCAGACCTGCTGCGTTTCACCTGCAATTTCTGTTTTTGTTTCATTTAGGATTGAGTCTGATTTACTCAATGATCAGACAGGAATGTCTGACTGCAAGTGAGGCAGGTAAGGGGATTCAGAAGGCAGTTTGGCAGGACTATAAGGCTCTGCAATTGTCCACCAAGTTTCAGTTTCTTTCAACTTGTTTGGATGCGAGTGGGGACTGCAGAGTGAATGAGCTGACTAACCATGGCACAGGATGCCATTCAAGCATAGACAGCACCAAGAAATTAGTGAGAGTAAGGGATAGTATAGTGAGGGAATAGGCGCTGTTTTATACAGCTAAGATCATCAGTCCGAGAGAGTTCTGTGGCCTGACTGGTGCCAGGGCTCAGGAACCTACAGTGGAAGGCAGAGGATCCAGTTGTGGCAGTCAATATACAAGCACAAACTGGAATCTGGAACTTATTGCCTGCAAGGTTGATGCAGAGAAAAACCTTCATAACGTTTTAGTAGTATTTAGCTGTGTACTTGCAATGCCAATGCTTACAAGGCTATGGGCCGAGTGGTGGAATGATGGGAGTAGAATAGTTAGGTGGTTGTTTTTGACCAAGGTTGACACAATGGGCTGAAGGGCATTTGATCTAAGCTATTGATCTCTCTGACTTTAAATGTCATCGACAGGGCATGGAATTAGGTTTGCTCTGACAGTGTGAGGAAATGGACACCGAATTGCTCAATAGAACCTCAAGGGTAATGACTATTACCATAGCCATGTGCCAACTTGCAGAGGGCATGAAAATTAGCAAAGCAGATAAGTGGCTCAGATCCTGGTTGGGGAGAAGTGGGTTCCAGTCTGTGGAACATGGAATCAGCCCTAGTGAAAGTGGGGTCTGTAAAATTAGGATGGTATGTCGTATCCTGTGCAACATTCTCTCAAACCATATAGCTAGAAAGTAGAGATGGCTTTAAACTAAATACAAGTAAGGAGTCCAGCTCGGGTAGATGTAGCAAATCAAGGGTTAGAATCAAGGCAAGAGTATAAAATGATGTAGGGAATGGGGTCAGAGAATGGCAGGAAGGGATAGAGAGAATAAACCATAGAAGAGTAGATTTTACAAAATATGAAATGAAAGGCCCTGTATCTGAAAACGCTTGGCAAACTGATGCCACACATTGCAATAAATAAGGATGACCTGATAGCCATGATGGAAATGTGGCTGCAGGATGACAAAAATGAGTCCTGAATATTGAGGGATATTTGGCAAGAAGAACAGGAAACTAGATAAAGGTGGAGAGGTAACACTGTTAATCAAGGATGGCATTGGCACAATAGTTCGTGTCCTTGGTTCAAAAGACCAGGATGTAAAATCAATTTGAGTAGAGATGAAGAACAATAAGTGAAAGAAGTCATTGATAGGAGAGATCTACAGGCACCAAAACAATTTAGAACAAAGTATATGAGAAGAAAGGTGTTTGTGATGAAGGGACAAGAATAATCAATGTTGACTAATTTGTATGTAAACTGATAAAATCAGATTGACAATCGTGGCATGAATGAAAAGTTCATGGGTTGCTTTTGAAATAGCTTCTTAAGCAGCACAATCTGGGGCCAACCAGCACAGCATATATGAGACTCAGCAACATGTAATGAGACAGGATTAATGCCCTCAGAATAAACGCACCCTTCAATCGCAGCATGTTTGAATTTTACATTCAGTTTGAAAGTGAGAAGAATGGGTCTAAGACAGCATTTTAAACTTAAAAAAGATATGAGCATGAAAGCTCTGCCAGCTGGCATGAACCAGGTTACTACGCTAAGCATTACATGAACAAAGAAGCAGAAGAGGACATTTACGGGAATATCTCAGAATAACTATACTCCTATTGTAAAGATAATCTCTAAGTGGGACGGATGAGATTCACTTTCTGCAGTTAACTAATGACATTAAGCAAAGCATCAAACTTAAGCAAAAATGCTAATCATTGCACAAAGAAGAGTGACAGGTCAGATGATTGGACAGAACAGAAAAAAAGTAGACAATGACTAGAAGATTAATTAGGAAAAAGAACTGAAGAATGAGAGAGAAAGCTCGTTGGAACTGTAAAAAATGGATAGCAAAAGATCCTGCAGATTTATGAAAAGAAGAAGTGTGTGTTGGTTTTCTGGAGAGTAAGAATGGGGAGTTAATAGTAGATAATAAGGAAATAGGGATAAAATGAGTACACATTTTGCTTCTATCTTCACCGTAGAGGATAAAAAGAAAACTTTTTAGCAATAGCTGGGAATCAGGAGTCTGCAGGGAGAAGAACTTGCTGAAATTACAATCATGAGGGAAGCAGGACTGACCAAACAAATGGAGTTGTGATTGACAGGTCTCCTGGTCCAGATGGATTTCATCCTAGGGTTTTTAAAGAGGAGACTCATGGAGTAGTGGATGTGTTGATGTGAATTTTCCAACATTTCAGGAGTGTTGGCAAATTTAACTCCCCTCCCTGTTCAAGAGGAGTTTGTGGCAGAAAACAGGAAACTATAGGTCTGTTAGCTTGACATATGTCATGGGGAGGGTGTTAGAATTGACATTATGGAGATTATAGCCAAGTACAATGGTAAACTGAAGGTAATTGGGAGACATCAGCATTGTTTTGTGAAAGGGAAATCCTGTTTAACCAATTTACTGGAGTTCTGTGATAGAAAAAAAAACGTACTAAGAATAAAGGGAAGCCTCTAGATGTGCCTTTCTGGGATTTTCATATAAAATGGTATCAAAACAGAGGTTCATGGTGTAGGGGCTAACAGAGTAGTAAGGAAGCTTCAGTTGTACAGGGCTTTGGTGAGTCCGTTACTAAAATACTTATGCAGTTTTGGGCTTCTTATTTAAAGATGTATGCAAGTACATTGGAGATAGTTTACTAGGTTGAAACATGAATGAGTTAATTGTCTTATGAAGAAAGAATAGGCAAAACTGGCATGTTTCTACTGGAATTTGGAAAAGTGAGGGGAACCTCGACTGAAGTAAGTTAGATCCTGAAAGGTCTTTGCCAGACAAATGTGGAAGCGATGTTTCCTCATGTGTGAGCCAAAGAACTCGGGACATTATTTTAAAACTAGGAGTTGCCCTTCTGGGACAGTTTGAGTAGGTTTGGAACTCCCTGTCTCAGGAGGGTGGGGGAGGGGTCATTGAATATTTTAAAGACAGACACAGATAGATCCTTATTAGGGAGGAGAACTAAGGAGGTAGATCAGGATGTGGAATTAGTCATGAGAAGTCACCATGAGTGCCAGTAATTTCCCAGCCAGAAAGAGAAGATGGCTGCCTGATCAGCTGATGTCATTTCAGGATCCAGCACAGAATGTCCATTGACATCTCAACAGATATACAGTGGCTATTTCTCCCTCCCATCCCCCCAAACGACATTCTAACATCTCTGGACCTTTGTACCAATGCAGTATTCGGCAGCAAGTAAAAATCTGGAGTGGGAGCCGTAGTAACTTCTCGTTTCTCCATCTTCCTGCTGTTTCTTTCCTGTTATGTTGTGCATGAACCTTTAAGAGTTTTAAATTGCTGATCCTTGCTATCCACCACAATTCAAGATATAGGATGTCCTGTAGCCTGTAGACACAACAACAGTCTTGCAGTTGAGCTGTGCTTGAAGACCCTCCCAGCTGCCACAAGTCCATGTAAAGGCTAATCTTCCACTAAAGAATTCCAGTTATTGTCTAAACAATAAGGCTGGATGACGGGTACAGTTGTGCAAAACAAAGGAAAGAGAAGCCTCCTTATTATGGGCTCTGCTGAAGTTCATCCAGCCTGTCATCCACCAAATGTAATCAATTATTGGGAAAAGAAACAGATCTGAAGGGGAGATGAAGAGAAGTGTTTTACTCAGTAAGTTGTTGGGAACTGGAATGGTCTGCCTGAAATGATGGTAGAAGCTGGTTCTGTGAATAATTTTACATTGAAGCTGGGAAGGAGCTTGGTCAGGTAGTGTAGTGGCAATGTCTTTGGGCTAGGAATCCAGAACCTCAGGCCAAATACTCTGGTAGATGGTGAAGTCTGAATTCCATTTTTAAGATATAAATTGAATTAAAACAAAGCTAGCCGGATGGTGAATATTTAGCCATTGTCATTTGTCTTAAAACCCATCTGAAATTTTCCATTCTTACCTGGTCTGACCTACATACGATTCGAGACTCAAGAAATCTGGTTGACTCTTAATGCCATCTGGGTAATTAGGAATGGGCAAAAAAAACTGGCCTAGACAGCGATGTCCATATCCTGTGAGTGAATTTGGGTAGCATAGTGGACTCATTGGCCAGAAAACATTTGTGTAAATTATCTCCCACCCAACCAGCAGCTCCAGTGGCAGTTTGAGAGTTCCGAACTGAAGAATTTGGAATCAGAAAACTTGTATCAGTAAAGGTGGCTGTTCTAATTAAGGTAGTTCACAAATGTTCAACTGCAAAGGATAGCTGCTCTCCTCCACTGGGCTGGTCTGTATGTGACTCCAGTTGCAAACTAACCCACTGTTACCTCTTAACCACTCTCTAAAGTGCCCTTCCGTTGTATCTGAGGATGGCAGAGCCCATCAGCTGTGTCGGAGAGCAACCAAGACCGGGCAATTCACATTGGCGAGATCCACTGGGGAGTGCAGGAGGTGAAAAATAAGTTCTTTGAATTCCCCTCTATCCCCCATGATGTTCAAAGTAAGAAACATAATATATGCATTACTCTGAATCCACTCCTGATTAAAGACCCTGAGGCATAGCTACATGGCGACAGTATGTGTTCAGTGAGTAACACAGGAAGCAGGAAGTTAAGAAGGTGATCAGCTGAGGAGGCTGGGAGATGTTCTACATCTTTGTCTGCTTGTTGACTGAGCTGAGGGCGATATCCTGGTACACTGAAGGAATCTCCTCTTCCTTGTCCTCCTCTTTCTTGACCAGTTGCTCTGTGTCCACGTAGGTGTAGAAGTAAGCCATGATGGAGAAAATGATGGAGACAGCGAAGAGAAGGCAAGCAAACAGCAAAAACTCGGCCCACTGCAAGGAGGAAGAGAGGAAACAGATGATGGGTCACAATTACTATCCGAGAATCCAACAGCACAAAAGGCCCATTGCTCCTCTTTGAAAGTCTTAACCAACTTTATTCTCTAGATATTCATGCAATGTGGGTGTGACTGGCTGGCCCAGCATTTATTGCCCATCCCTAGTTGCCCCCTGACCTGAGTGGCTTGCTGTTGTCATTTCAGAGGGTGGTTATGACTCAACCACTGTTGGCCAAACCAGGTAAGGATGGAAGATTTACTGCCCTGAATTGGATGTGAGTGAAGCAGATGCGTTTTTAAGCATCAAAAACCATTGGACAGGCTTTTTGAAAGGCAGGAGGAGCGCCTGACAAAGGGTTCGACCCGAAATGTTGACTTTCCTGCCCCTCAGATGCTGTCTGACCTGCTGTGCTTTTCCAGCTCCACATTTATTGACTCCAGCTTTCAGCATCTGCAGTCCTTATTATTTCCAGGAGGAATGCCAATGCCAGGCACACGACTCCTCTAAACAATTTAGTTTAGGGGGCTGACTCTGAGCTTAGAGGACCTGTAAAGAAAGTTGGTGGGGGGGGGGGGTGCTGTCCTTTATGAAGCTGAACATGAGCCACGCCTACCTGCAATTGTGACTGGATGGGGAGTCCCAGAAGTATGCTACAATTAATACCCATAAGGGTTTACACCAATACACAAGACTGCCATTTGGGGTATCATCAACCTGCTCCCTTTTCCAGTGGACCATGGAGAACATTTTACAAGGGTTACCCCACATTGTCATTTATTTGGATGACATGCTAATAACGGGGAAGACCAATAAAGATCACTTGGAGAAGTTGGACACAGAGCTTAAACTTTTCTCCCAGATGGGCATATGCCTTGGACAGGAAAATGCATGTTTCACGCGCCCCAAGTGACCTACTTGGGTTACAGAGTTGACAAAACCAGGTTACACCCGTTGAAAGATAAAACGAGGGTGACCAAAGGACGCCCGACTCCCACATCTGTACTGGAGCTTAGGCCATTCCTTGGGTTAGTGAATTATTACGGAAAATGTATACGTAACCTGGCCTCCACCTTGGCACCCTTACACCTGCTATTGAGAAAGGGTCAGACTTGGAAATGGACACGTAGCCAAGAGGTAACCTTTAGGGAAGTGAAAAAGCAGCTATCGTCACCTAAGGTGTTGACCCACTGTGATCCAAAGCGAGAGGTGGTGCTGATGCCTCCCCGTACGGTATCAGGGTAGTGTTGGCTCACCGGTGGCTCAAAGGAGAGAAACAGCCGACAGCGTATGCTTCCCGGACTTTGGCTGATGCTGAGCACAAACGTGCCCAGATGGGGAAGGAAGGTCTGGTGGAAAGAGTGGTCCAAACGTTGAAGGCAGGCTTAAAGAAACAGCCTACAGCGTCACTCAATACCCAACAGTCCCGGTTCCTGTTTGATTATAGGACCAGCCCTCACGCACTACAGGGATAGATCCAGCAGAGCTGCTGATGAGGAGAAGACTCTGCACCAGGTTAAACCTGATATTCCCAGGTTTGGGGCGGGGGTGGGTGAAAGGTTAAATGGCAGCAGGAATGCCAATGCCGGCCACATGCCTCCCCTAAGCAAGAGGGGCAACTTAGTTTGGGGGATTAACTCTGAGGTGGCTGGCCACAGCCAGTGTACCATGCACAAGTAAATAGAAGACTTGGTGACAGGATACCAGCCTCTGTGCAATTATTTCACTTTTAAATGCAGACTTTTATTGAGTTCACATTTTAAGCTACCTGCTGTTGTGGGATTTGAACTTGAATCTGCAGAACCTTTACAATGGCTACTCTGGCTTGCTAAGCCAGTAATTTTATCACTGCACTATCACCTCCTCACACCATAGTGACAGGAAGGAAGATTGTGCTGTGGTGGTTAAATCACTGGGCTAATAATCCTGAGGCCATCATATTGTGGGTTCAATTCCCAACCTACAGCTGGTGGAATTTAAATTCTGTTAATTAAATTAACCTGACAAAGGAGTACAGTGGTTTAAGAAGGCAGCTCACCACCACCTTCTCAAGCGACCTCAGGACAGACAACAAATGCTGGCCCAACCGGTGACGCCCAGGTACTATGAGCCAATGAAATAAATATTTCAGGAATTAAATGCCATGAAAGTGTCATCAATTGTCAGAAAACCAATCTCTGCTTAACATATGAGGAATGTTTGAGGACCCTGGGACTATACTCATCGGAGTTTAGAAGGATGAGGGGGGATCTAATTGAAACGTACAGAATACTGAATGGCCTGGACACAGTGGATGTTGGGAAGATGCTTCCATTGGTAGGAGAGACTAGGACCCGAAGGCACAGCCTTAGAGTAAAGGGAAGACCTTTAAGAACGGAGATAAGGAGAAACTTCTTCAGCCAGAGAGCAGTGAATCTATGGAATTCACTGCCACAGAAGGCTGTGGAGGCCAGGTCATTGCGTACATTTAAGACTGAGATAGATAGGATCTTGATTATCAAGGGGATCAAGTGTTACAGGGAGAAAGCAGGAGAATAGGGTTGAGGAACTTATCAGCGGTGATTGAATGGTGGAGCAGACTCGATGGGCCGAATGGCCTAATTTCTGCTCCTATGTCTTATGGTCTTATGATTCATTTTAAGGAAGGAAATCTGCCATCCTTACCCAGTCTGGCCTATACTTGACTTCACACCCACAGTAATGTGGGTGACTCCTAACTGGCCTCTGAAATGACCTAAAGTCTGCACAGTTCAGGAAGACCTTTCACCCTCCCATTACCTCTGGAAGCCAATTATAGGTGGGCCACACATGCTGGCCTACCTTACAATGCCCACAACCTGTGAAAGCGTTACAAACAAAAATCCTGTTGAGCCCGCTCTTTCCCCAGAATTCTGCAAAGATTTTATTTCATAAAGTTTATTCTCAAAAGCTTACAATTGAATGTTACCCCTTCCAGCCAACATATTCTGGCTGGAATCCATCTTTTTGCTCCGATGGTGATGACTCCTACAATGGATATGATCTCCGAGACAGCAAAGTGCTCTCTGTATCTCACCCACTTAGTCACTCTTTACTCGTGAGCCTGAAAGTGAATTTGTGATTATTTGTGATTGAAGCCCAGATATTGGCTCAAGTGACAGGCCCTGAGGCAGAGGAATACAGGAATGAGAGGAAGGTATTTAGCCTCTCAAAACTCTTTCCAATCACTGAATGGGACCATGGCTGAAGTATGATTTTCTGTACTCCACATAGCCAACTCCTCATCCTGTCCCTGTATGAACTCGCTGCAACTTTTTAAGCTATTTTGAATGATGAGTTTTAGACCATCCGACGCAGGAGCAGAAGTGACCCATTCAGCTCATTGAGTCTTCCCTGCCATTCAATGAGATCCTGGCTGATCTGATAATCCTCAAAACCACTTTCCTGCCTTTTCCCTGTAATCCTTGATTCCCTTACTGATTAAAAATCTGTCTATCTCAGCCTTGAATATACTTAATGATCCAGCCTCGACAGCCCTCTGTGGTGAAGAATTTACTGATTTACAACCCTCTGAGAGAAGAAATTCCTCCTCATTTCTTTCTTCATGTGCAATCCCTTACTCTGAGATTATATTGTCTGGTCCCACAAGGGGAAACAACCTCTCTGCATCTACCCTATCAAGTCCCCTAAGAATCCTCTATATTTCAGTAAGGTCACCTCATGTTCTTCTATATTTAAAGACAGTCCCTCCATACCTGGTATCAGCTGAGTGAAGCTTCTCTGGACTGCCTCCAATGCCAGTATATCTTCCTTTGGGTAACAGGACTAATTATTCCATCACATTATTCTATCTGTGGTGTGACTAGTGCCTTTAGAGGTTTTAGCAAAACCTCTCTATTTCTATATTCCATTCCCTTTGAAATAAAGGCCAACAGTTTATTTGCATTTCCTATTACCCACTGAACTTGATTCATATAGACTTAGAGAGTCATAGAGTCATACAGCATAGAAATAGGGCCTTTGGCCCACCATGTCCTTGTTGACCAACAAACCAGATGACACTAATCCCATTTACCTGCACTTGGTCCATAGCCCACTGTGCTCTGGCATTTTAAGTCCTCATCCAGGTGCTTCTTAAATGCTCTTTGGGTACCACCACCCTCTCAGGCAGCACTTACCATATTTCTATCACCCTCTGGGTGAAAAATCTTTCCTCAAATCTCCTCTAAACCATTGCTTCTCACTTAAACTTCTGCCCTCTGCTCTTAGACACATCTGCCATTGGGAAGAGATTCTTACAATCTACCCTGACTGTCCTCTCATAATTTTGTATATCTCAATCAAATCCCCTTCTTAGCCTCCTCTGCTCCAAGGAAAACAAATCCAGCCTTTCCTCATAACAGAGACTTTTCATCCCAGGCAGCAGCCTGGTGAACCTGGGGTAGGCAATGGCCTAGTAGCATTATTGCTAGGCCATTAATCCAGAGACTTGACTAATGTCCCAGGGATCTGGGTTCAAATCCTGCCATAGCAGATGGTGGAACATGAATTCAATAAAAATATTTTTAAAAATCTAGACTTAAGAATCTATTGATGACCATGAAATCATTGTTGGAAAAACCCATCTGGTTCAGGGAAGGAAACAGCCATCCTTACCTGGTCTGGCCTACATGTGACTCCAGACCCACAGCAATGTGGTTGACTCTTAATTGCCCTCTGAAATGGCCTAGCAAGCCATTCAGTTGCATCAATTGCTACAAAGTCTCAAAGAAATGAAACCGGACAGATCACCTGGCATCGACCTAGGCACTGAAAAAGACAACGGCAGAAACAGCCCTGTCAACCCTGCAAAGTCCTCCTCACTAACATCCGGGGGCTGGTGCCAAAATTGGGAGAGCTGTTTCACAGACTAGTTAAGCAATAGCCTGACATAGTCATACTCACAGAATCATACCTCACAGATAATGTCCCAGACACCACCATCACCGTCCCTGGATATACCCTGTCCTACCAGCAGG